GGGCCCGGGCTAGGGATTCGAACCTGCCACCTTAGGTGTATGTGGCTGGCGCCTTAGCCGCTTGAGCCACAGGCGCCGAGCCAGCTCCTTTCTATTGGTTCCCACAAAGTATGCTTCTCTGGGTGGAGCAGGCTGGCACTTCAGTTGAACCCAGGTACCTTTCTCTTTGGCTTCCTTCTTTTTCTGATCATTTTCCTTCATGCGTTTCAGGAAGCTATCTCAGCTCTTAGAGTGCTTAATATGTTCAATATGAACATTAATCCTCTTGGCAATAATCTTGCCCTTAACTTGTTTGTTTACAACAATGCCAACAGCATGCTGGGTGACACTGTAGACTCTTCCAGTTTTATCATGGTAACATTTGTGCAGCATCCCTTTTTGAATAGTACCCATTCCTTTGATGTCTATAGTATCACCTTTCTTGCAGATTCGCACATTTGTGACCAACAGAATAACTCCTTGTTTTGTAAAAGGCTTAGAGAACATGTATCGGGTGCCCCTCCTCTTTCCCTTTGTGTTTGTCGTTTTGGTGAATTACTGGAAGTTGGCGTCTCTGGCCGAAAAGCCAAGAATTTTTTTTTTAATTTAAAACAAGATTTAATCACTTTTAAAACTTAGCATAGAAATAATATGCAGTGTGCACTGCTTAGAACTTAAGAATAAACCAGAATGGGATTATGCATGATTTAAAAAATAAACATTTTGGGTTGGCACCCATAGCTCAGTGGTTAGGGCATCAGCAACATACACCGAGGATGGCGGGTTAGAACCCAGCCCAGGCCTGCTAAACAACAATGACAACTACAACAAAAAATAGCCGGGCATTGTGGCAGGCACCTGTAGTCCCACTGCTTGGGACGCTGAGGCAAGAGAATCGCTTGAACCCAAGAGTTTGAGGTTACTGTGAGCTGTGATGCCATAGCACTCTACCAAGGGTGACATAGTGAGACTGTCTCAAAAAACGAACAAACAAAAAAAACATTTAAACATTATCTTTTTCAAATGATTGAAGTTTAAAAGCAGTGAAGAAAGCCTTTGTAAATGGGGTATAGCCAGAAGCCTACAATTTTCAGTGTACCAATAAATGACAGGGGCAAAAGCACTAGAAGGAGTTTATAAGTAAGCCATGATACTTAAGACAGCAAGTTTAAATCAGACAGGAAATGTTTTTGGCTTTAATCTATCATTTGCTGTCATAAAGTGAAAACACTGATTGCCAGTCCATACCATAAGAGAAAGTAGTTAAGAGGATGCCAGAGATTCACGGTGCTTCCAGAGCTCCCTATTCTGCAAACAATAATAACTGAGCCAGACACTACAACGTAAGTAAAGATGAGAATTACCAGGTCTCTGAGAGACATACTCAACATTCTCATCACAATTCTGAGAGGAGTAACTTTGAGTCAGTATTTCCTAAAATTAGTAGCAATAACGTTAATGCATATCATGGTCTGAATGTTGGTGTCCCCCCGAAATTCATATGCTGAAACCTAACCCCCAATGTAATTAAGAGGTAGAGTTTTAGGAGGTGACTAAATCATAAGGAATTTGCCCTCATGAATGGGATTACTGCCCTTTTATAAGAGGTTAAAGGGAAATACCTTGCCCTTCCTGTCCATAAAAAGATGCAGCAAGGTGCCATCACAGAAGCAGAGAACACGCCCTCATCAGAAAAAGAACCTACTGACACCTTGATCTTGGACTTCTCAGTCTCCAGAAATGTTAGCAATAAATTTCTGTTGTATATAAATTACCCAACCTAGGGTATTTTGTTATAGCAAAAGGAATTAACTAATTTCAAATGTATAAACATATTTTTAATAAAGAGTTAAAACTCAAAATGATAAATGCCTATTTATGTATAAGTATTAATACAACTTAACCAAATGTCTAACAGAGTGTTAGGAGGTCTACGGGCTTCCTGATATTACATATGAGATTATGTATATTTAGGTCACATAATAAGAGACTCAAAGGGGATCATGACCCCAAAAGTGAAACTACTACATTAGGAAAACGGTTAATAATCATATATGCTTAAGAACAATTAGCAGCAAAGGATTTACCTGAAGTTCTTGTTGAAGTTGCTTGATTTCCATAATTTCCAGGTCACACTGCTTATCCAGAACTTCCACCTCAGTCTTTTGAGTTTGCTTTCTCAGTCGAACATCTTGAAGTCTGCCTGAGATCTGCTGATGTTTGCCATTCTACAGGAAGATCATATAAATGTATATGGCAATAGAACATGTTAACAGGAAATGTTTGCATCAGGCGCATAATACTTTTATTTAGCTAAATTTTTAAATGTCATTTAACATTCATACTCACTGTAAAATAAATGTCTAAAACCAAGAAGAATATGATTTGGAGTTGTATCTAAGAGAGTTATTAGAAGGAAACACATCATTTTGACAGTACAAAAGCTCATATGTGAAGATAAGAAAGCACAGATATAACATGTTAAATTTTTTTCTGAATTCAGCACTTAGGCATTAATTTATAACATTATTATCAGAGCACTCTCCAAAAATAATGAGGAATAAATGTTTGTATGTGTCGTGCAGCATTACCTTTCCTGAGCTTCTGTTTCTACCCTCAGAATTGCCATCTAATTTCTTCTAATTAAGTAGTATCCAAGAAGACGTTTCTGGTAATAACTCTCTTTTATATTAACACTCCTTTCTGTAAGCAAGGAGCATCCTTTCTTCTTATTCTTCTTCCAAGGAAGAAAAAAAAAAGAACTCCAAAAAACAGACATCAACAGAGCCTAAGAAGGGTACGTGGCCACCTGCAAGCCATAGAGACCTCACAAGAAACCAAACTTGTGGACATCTTCATCCTGGACTTGTGGCCTTTACGACTGTGAGAAAATAAATTTCTGTTGTTTAAGCCACCTATTCTGTCACATTTTATTACACCAGGCCTTGCAAACTAATATAATGGGGTAAGGAGAAATGAGATTTCTAGGTAAAAATTACTGATTATGAAAGTTTTATTGAAGAATATGTTTCATATTTGAAAATATATGTTAAAAGGAATATGCTGTATCCACCTTAAAGCTTACATTATTATATTCAATGCGTTTAAGTAGAGGCTCTGGACCTTTCCAAACTCTGCACAGTTCTTGAGAGAAAAACAATTAACTTTAAGGTCGCCTCTTTTTTTTTTTTTTTTAAGAAGCAAAACTACTTTATTTTTAAACAGATAATTATTATTTCTTATACTTTTTAATCTACCTGAAAGTCTAAGTTTTTTTCTGGTATAATTTCTCTTTAGTCAAAAGAATTTCCTTTAACTATTCTTTAGGAAATTTCTGCTGGAAAAAAATTTCTAAGTCTTTTCTTATTAAATATAGTCAGGATGATGGTTCAGACAGTAGTAGCACAGAGAAGTTAAAGGTTTTTAGGCCTATTTGGTAGTACAACTGGTAATGGCATGATTACTAATTGAGGTATATATTTCTATTCACTTGAAGGCATAAAAGGGTACCTTTCTGACTAATTACAATATTTTTATTTAAAAATAATTTAATGTAAATCAAATCATCAACCAAAGAAAATGTTACACTACAATTAAACAAGATCTGAATTTGAGTATCCCACATGGCTAAACATGAATTTTTCCAAAACCCTGCTCTATCAGGTCAAGCATATCAGACACAAGGGTAGAATAGTCCTGGACCTTTTATACATATCCTCTCATTTTGCATTTTACGGAAAGTCTTTTAACAACTTGACCTTCTAACAGTTGATATATAAAAACTGATAAGTATAGACAAAAACATTAGCTAAAAACTATAGTTCTATAAAACTAGAAGGAATTCTAGGAGATCATTTAGCTTAGCATTTTAAATAAGTTCTCTTTTTAATATAATTCTTTTTTTTCCAAGCAAATCTAAAATAAAACTCCAATAAAAATAAAGTAGATGAATGTGGAATTTCTCTGTTATGAACTGTAGGAGGAGTTGGGGAGAGGAGACCACTGCTCCACTGCTCAAGTTTACCCTCTTCTGCCCTGGTTAGTCCTCTGTAGATCATCTTCAAGAGATTAACTTGAAAATTAATTAACTTGGTTTGGTGTCCGCAGCACAGCGGTTATGGCACCAACCACATACACCGAGGGTGGCGGGCTAAAATCCGACCCAGGCCAGCTAAACCACAATGACAACTATAAAAACAACAAAAAAATAGCCAGGTGTTGTGGTGGGTGCCTGTAGTCCCAGCTACTCAGGAGGCTGAGGCAAGAGAATCACTTAAGCCCAAGAGTTTGAGATTGCTATGAGCTGTGATGCTACGGCACTCTACTGAGGGCAACATAGTGAGACTCTGTTCCCTCCCCCCCAAAAAAGAAAATAAAATTAAGTAACTAGCATAACCCTTTATTTTACACATGAGCAAAGTAAGGCATAGTGAAGTGCAATGTCTTGACTAAGAGTACATAGCTTATAAGCATGTGAACTGAGACTGCCACCTAATTCTCAGCATTCTGAGACTCTATTCTTTCTTCAGTATTCTGTCCAGCCTCTTAAAAAAGCATGTAAGAAAATATGACTATCTACTTATATTAAATATAATTTATTCATAAGATAGATTTAAAAAGACAACTACATTTTTAAGAGGTAACTCTAGCATCATTTAGGTAATTTTTACTTGAACTTTAGCCATACCAGTGCTTCCAACTCAAGATGAAGACTCTTCTTTTTAGAATTTAACCTGACAATTTCTTCTTGTTCTCTATTCTTTTGATTGAGAAGCTCCTGTCGACGAATTCTTTCCCATTCTAAACGACGCTGACGTTCAAGTTCCTGTTTTGCTGCCTGCAAATAATGAGTAAAAGTTAGTTTTTAAATTAAAAATTCTGCATCAGGCTCGGCGCCTATAGCTCAACCGGCTAAGGCGCCAGCCATGTACACCTAAGGTGGCGGGTTCAAATCCCCAGCCCGGACCCGCCAAACAACAATGACGGCTGCAACCAAAAAATAGCCAGGCGTTGTGGCGGGCGCCTG